GCAAAAATGGAAATAAGTGCCTCCTTATATACTGTAATTTCCAAAGAGCAGAATTTGGGGCTGTATAAGGTGAATCCTTAGATTTTCTTCATTAGCTTTATTTTTGAGTAGTTAATTAACAGTTATGAAGAAGTTTCACTAAATTCTGTGGCTTCTACCCTGGAACACCTCTGGAATTCTTCCTGGCAGAGTGGGGGGCGGGGAAGGGAGTTCAGCCCTCACCGTGCCCTGACCAGACTCTAGGGCCAGTCTCCTTTTAAATTATTGCCACAGAATGCTCTCCTAAAACGCAAACATAAATCCTGAGTGGGTGGTATTGATCCAAAGGGGAATCTATAATAGGGAAAGAAAAAGGTTTCAAGGTTAGTTAGTAGAAATGAAATGAGCTAGGTGGGTAAGTTTAGAAAAGAATGCGCATGTCAATAAGACCTTGTAAAAGAGAAGCAGCAAATGGAGAGCAGCTGGAGGCATGTGGAGTGGTGTGTGTGGAATGAGGGGGCCAAGAACACAGGGGGGTTGGTTGGGGCAAGGAGGGTGAAGGTTTCCAAAAAGGCTGACATGCCCCACTGGTTGCCCTGGTGACAGATCCACCCCCATAGGACGGGGATGTAACAAAGAGAAAAAACGTGCACAAATCAAGCAGGCAGTAATTGGGGTGGGGCAACATGGCTTCCAGTTCTCGCCCCAGGAGGAGGGCCTAGGGAGGGGTCTGGAAGGGGAGGGGCACCACTGATAAGGGATGGGTCAGGGGGAAGAATCGAACAGCCCACTGTTCCACCTGCCAGCGTCCTCTGGAAGGGCCTGTAGGCTGAAGCACATGCTTGTTCATTCTCCTGTTGGCCATAAGCGTTGGCTCAGGGCTGCCACCTGCTAGTTAGATTGCCACTTGCCACAGCCCAGCAGGTTGAGTCTGTGCAGAGGGCACAGTGGGGGCAAAGTCAAAGTGATGACCGTGGTCTGCTTAGTCTTCCACGGGCTCCCAACCCTGCGACATGAAGTTCAAACTCTTCACTGGACACCCCACCCCGCCACCATGGCTTATCTCCCTCTCACACCACCTGCCTGATGGACAGCCTGCAGTCCCCTGAGCCACGTCCAAGCCCCCGCCACACTGCACCCTCACACCTCTGCTGCCTGCTCATTCCTGAGGGCTCTGCATGGCCATGACCTTCACTGGGAACAATTCCCTTAAACCTGCCATTTTCAAAGTGTGGTTTGGGGAACTCTAGGGGTCTCTGAGACCCTTTCAGAGGATCCATGAAAGGGATAATAACACTAATGTTTGTCTTTTTTTTTTGAGACAGAGTCTCACTCTGTTGCCCGGGCTAGAGTGCTGTGGCGTCAGCCTCACTCACAGCAACCTCAAACTCCTGGGCTCAAGCGATCCTCCTGCCTCAGCCTCCCAAGTAGCTGGGACTACAGACACGCACCACCATGCCCGGCTAATATTTTTTTCTGTTTTTAGTTGTTTGGCTAATTTCTTTCTATTTATAGTAGAGATGGGGTCTTGCTCTTGCTCAAGCTGGTCTCGAACTCCTGAGCTCAGGCAATCCTTCCGCCTCGGCCTCCCAGAGTGCTAGGATTACAGGCGTGAGCCACCGCGCCCGGCCTTGTCTTTTATATTGTCATTCATTCATGAGTATATAGAGTACAAAAGTTTATTGATGTGGTTTTAGATTCCACATTGCAACTAACCGCTAACTACCATTTGTCAAGTTTTGGTGTAGTACCAAAGAAGAATATCCACAAATATATGAAAAGGCTATTAAAATGCTCCTTCTTTTTCCAACTACATATCTGTTGAAGGCCACTTTTTTTTTATATATAATATAACCCAAATGACATTTTGTGATAGATTGAATGAATGAGAAATGAATCTATAGCCTGAGCTGTACTCTACTAAAAATAGAAAAATGGTGCACACCTGTAGTCCCAGCTACTCAGGAGGCTGGGGCAGGAGGATCACTTGAGCCCAGGAGTTTGAGGTTGCTGTGAGCTAGGCTGACACCACAGCACTCTAGCCCAGACAACACAGTGAGACTCTGTCTCAAATAAAAAAAAAAAAAAGTACAATGTTGTTACTTTTCTCACTAATTTTTTATTATTTAGAAAATGTAGTTTTTTATGCATATAGCTCATTAATTTTTAAATTGATTAACAGATACTTTTCAAAGTTTTCCATTTTAACTTCTGATCCAGTAAATATCAGATCTAACCCACATAAACAAAAGCTCTTCAGGCCGGGCATAGTGGCGCACACCTGTAATCCCAGCACTTTGGGAGGCTGAGGTGGGAGGATCGCTTGAGACCAGGAGTTCAAGACCAGCCTGGGCTACATAATGAAAGCCCCCTCCCACCCCTATGAAAAATAGAAGAGTTAGCCAGCCATGGTGGCGCATGCCTGTAGTCCCAGCTACTCAGGAGGCTGAGGCCAGAGGATCCCTTGAGCCCAGGAGTTTGAGGTTGCTGTGAGCTAGGCTGACGCCACGGCACTCTAGCCAAGGCAACAGAGCCAGACTCTGTCTCAAGAAAAATAAATAAATAAAAGCTCTTTGGGATCTTTAATAATTGTTGAGTGTAAAAGGAAAGGTCCTGAGACCAAAAAGCTTGAGAACCACTGCCTTATACCAAACCCACGCATCAGGTAGAGTTAAGCTGGAACTTAGATATGCCTCTATTACTGCACACTGATTCTACCAAATTAATGATCTTTTCTCATGCCTGTCTCTTCCGTCACACTGTGCACTTCCTGATGGTGCCTATTCATCTTCTTAAACACCCAGTGTCTGGCACAGAGTTGAAATTCCAGAATGAGGTAAGAGATAAGCCCACGAAGACAGACATCACAGGCTGCCAAATGAGCAGCCTAGAGATATTCACAGGACTGGTGAATAAATACATGCATTATTTCTTTTTAACTGATCAAGCTGTTACTGAGACTCTGACCTGAATTTAGACATAAGATGTAAACATTTTTTAAAAACCAGAAAATTCAAACAAAAAATTAACCTAAGAAACAATTCTGCTGTTTCTACTCTGTTAAACAAACTTTCAGAGACACACTTGCAAGCAAGTAACCAGTGAAATACATCATGCTGGTGGATGCCATAAACATAGCCAAAACGACTTGCCACAAAAAAGTGAAATGCAGCCTGGCAATGTTCTGAACAAGAAAACCCCCAAAAAGCCAAGAAAAGCAAACACGCAGAAAACACAAGACACCATATTCTAAGAAGGAAGAGGTCATGTGATCCGGGCAAGGACTACCAATGAGCACGCTTCCCAAAGCAGATTGCACTTGAGACTTGGGCCACAGTTGTAGTGTTTGCCTTCCGGTTTCACAATTCTCACTCAACCACGTTCACAAGCCAAGCAGCCCTCTAGCGTGTCTGGGAGCGGCCTCTTGCTCTCGTGGAATACAAACATGCTTGCCCACTTCCAGTCCTGGGGGTGGGGAGACAGGCTGTGTCCCACCCTCCTCTTTGTCCCTGACACATTCTCAGCAAAATGAGGAAAAGGAATCAATGCTGGATGCGGGGTTGATACCTTTGGCAAAACAGGCTTCTAGCTCTTATCTCAGAACACAAAGGTTATCAGAGCCTGCCCATACGGTGAAGGAGGAGGACAGTAAATGCTGACACCACGGAAGGCTGGGTGGGGTGTGTGTGTGTGTGTGTGTGTATGAGAGAGACAGAGAGATGTGGAGCTCAGAGCAGAAGGCTGCTTTTCCAGGTTAAGTGTGTGGTGTTTCATCTGGACACCAGCCCTATCAGAAACCCAGCTGTGCAATCACTGCTGATGATCTAGAAATCACACATTTTCAGTTATATACATAGGTATGTTTATCATCTTGAAACTTGTTTTTAAAACCCTTTAATTAACATACTAAACATTTCCCAGTCCTTTTCACATATTTATGTCACTATGGAAACAGGGAGTCTCAGGAGACTGCAGACATGGAAGACGCACTATCGCTGGGGTCGTTGCTCAGTCAACATCAGTAAAGATTCTGACCTCTCAAAACAGGGCTCTTTGGTCCCTGATCATAACTGCAAGGCTGAGGCTACGTGGTCCTGCGTAGTTCTCTCGGTAGCCTTCACAGAGGGTCAGAGTCTAATGACTGGCCAATAAGATAAAAATGTAAAATACAGTTTCAGAGAACTTTGTGGAATGATAGTCGTGATAAATCTTTCGCTCACTGCATACCTACAATATACATACATTACCTCATTTACTCCTCATGAAAATGTTCCAATGTTGGCATTAACATTCCTATTTTATAAATGAGGGAACTGAACTTCACAGATTACATTGCCTAAGTACACACATCCAATAAGCAGCAGAGGCAGGACTTGAACTCAGGTCTATGCCAAAGCCCATTATCTTTCCAACGGCCAAGCTTCCTAGGACCTCCACGTGCTATGCTTACCAGAACCCTTGTTTAGAACCATCTGTATTCATCTATATTCTGCGTGTTCTCATGACATTTCCTTTCTCTCCGCAAGAATTTTTTTGAAAGACCAGACCGGACCAGAATAGTAGACCCCTGGCATATTCCATTCTCGATATCTTGATTCAGCTCATAAGGTCCCACCTCTCCTATGTGCATGCCCTTTTTCCCCGCTGCCATGTGGAGAGGCATTATTAACAGATCTAGCTGGCCAAATCCAATAAAAAGTGTTTTCATAACACCTTTGTCCAGATAAATCCAAAAAGGGTATTTTCGGATGAAAAATCTTGCCCTGCATATTGGAGAAAAGTCATGAGCCTCAGATTAAACTGAAGGCTTCAAAACAGAAAAGGTTTGGTTTTATTTTGAAAGCCTGTGTACAACCACATCCTCCACTCCAGAGGCACCCATCCCCAATGAGACCCTGCCCCAGCACGCCCAACAGAGGACCCAGGGACAGGAGAGCTTCCCCGAGGGACACCAGTCCCCTCGTCCCGACTCCCCCAAGCTCCCCGCCTGCCTGCTTCTGCAGGTGGGGCCCCTCACTCACCCAGGAGGGCCCTCTGGGGGTGGGTCCGAGCCTGTCTGCCTCTGGAGGTGGCCCTCGTGTGTGGCCGCTGCCTGGCCTCAGCGGGGAGGAGGACGGCCTGTCCCAGGATCAGCAGAAGGCAGCCGGCAAGCATCTTTTCCATTTTCAAGACCAGTAAGAGGGGAGAGGCTGTGACAAACACAAGAGAAGGGAACAGGGTGAGATTTCTGGGTCTGCCTGAACTGCAGGTCCCACAGACCCACCGCCCCGCCTTTTCAGGTTTCAAACACGCCACTTGTACTTAAAATGCCATTTGTATGTTTGGCCCTTACGAGCTTAAGTAGCCCCTGTTGGTAGGTTCTTCTTGGATACTCTGAGAAGGACGTGCATAGTTGGAATTTTTCATCACTTTGGTCACTATAAGACTGAATGGAAAACTTGAGGAGAAAAATCTATCCTCAAGTTTCTTATCAGTTAAGTGTATTACCAATTATTCATAGTCACATTCTGTATCTTGGATTTCAACAAGGAAAAATTGTATCTGAGAATTCCAAGTAACAATATTCCTTCAGTCTAATAATAGCAGATGGTACAAATTTATATATATAAATTTCCCAAGAAATTCATGTATAGCTGACATAAGGTAGTACCATGCAGCCAGCCTCCCAGCCTCCCAGCCTCCCAGCCTCCCAACCTCCCAGCCTCCCTTCCCAGCCTCTCAACTTCCCAGCTTCCCTTTCTAGCCTCCCAGCCTCCCAGTCTCCCTGTCTCCCACAAACATCTATTAAGAGGGAGTTGGCACAGTGGTTAAGGACTTGGACTCTGATACTAGACTGAGTCCACGTGCCAGGCACTATTCCAAATGTTTTACATGTATTAACTCATTCAATTACCTAATATTATTCCCGTATTCCCATAAGGCTCAGGAAGTTTCAGTGGCTTGCCCAAGGTCACACACAGTAAGCAAGTGTCTGAGCCAGGATTCAAACCCACGGTGAGCAGGCCAATTTTCCATGCATTGATTAGCAGAAAACTCAATTAACTAAAAGTCAAATCCCCAAAAGTCAATTCACAAAAGGCCATAGATGTTTCACTGTCAGAGGCAGGGACAGGGCAGGGACCATTTCCCAAAACTTAAAAAAATACTCAATAATTTAGTGAACTGTTTGTTCAGCAAATTGCTCTCAGGAATTGACCTGAAAATGAACCTGGGCCCATCAACCTTCAAAGTCCACAGTTTTGCACACTTGCTGTATTGAGCTAGTTCACTTTTTACTATGTATTACAATTATATTGAAAATAGTGACTGTTTATTTAGCACTTACTACATGCCAGGCACTGGGCCAAGTGCTTTAAACGTATGAAGTGATTTAATTCTTACAGTAACTCCGAGAAGTTAAGTACCTTGGCCAAGGTTACATGGCTTGTGAGGGGTGAAGTTCCAGAATCCACTCTCATTACAGAGAACCGCTCCCCTCATTCCCTTTTTAAACTATTTAAACTCTTTACTAATTGAACTGGCCCCTTTTCATAGCTTTAGCTCTGAGATTCCTTTTGAGAAAAGGAAAAAAACTTAGAACATCTTGCCTTTTGCTCTAATCTTAAACCTACTATTTACTTTTGAGCTCTTTTGCTATTTATCACCTTATTTTATATGGCACTGTGTGTGTTACATCATTTCTTTGTGATTTATTATTTTATTGCTATTCCTCTGCCTCCTAACTGAGCAGACACAAAGTCCACGTTCATTTATTTCCAAATGTACACAACACGCTCTCAAGGCCCTCTTCCTCCCTGACACATTGGCACTTAAATCAAACATTTAGAATATGATGTGGTGGATGATGAACACCATTGCACGTGGTTTGTGTTTACTGTGGATTTCAAGAAGTGTTTGTGTTTTCAAGCCACCATTGCTAACCAAAGGCACTGAGAATAGGTGAAGGGTAGGGGGTTGAAAACAAACAAAACTACATACTTCTAGGTGTCTAACCCTGGGCAGCTTACTTATCCTTTCTTGGCCTCAGTTTCCTTATCTTGAAGTTGGAGGTAACAATAGACTCAGTTGTTGTATGGATTAAATCAGTTCATATATACATATGTATAAAGCACTTAAAACACGCCTGGCACACAGAAAGTACTGACTAAGCATTAGCTATTTGTTGTTGTTATTATTATTATCATTCTGCACTCAAACCAATCAATAGAAAGCATGCATTGTTAATTTTATCAAATGAAGCCATTTAATGTACATGAAATTAACTTTTATGCTTACTTATGAATATTATTATAATAAAACAATGACATAGAAATTCATAATTTTTAAATACACATTAGTATCTGGAAGTATTTAAACCTTTCTTTTTTCAAAATGCAATGGCATGGCAGGCCACATGCTGGAAGAAAATATTTGCAAAACATATGTCTCGGAGGGGAGGGGCTAGGAGGGGAGGGGCAAAACCCATCTAACGGGTACAATGAACACTATTTGGGTGACAGGCACACTTATAGCCATGATTCAAGCATTACAAAAGCGATCCATGTAACCAAAAACATTTATACGCCCTTAATACTTTGAAATAAAAAAAACTGATAAATTACCTATATTCAGACCATAATTCAGTAAAAAGACAAACAACCCACTTAAAAATGTGCAAAAGATTTGAACAGTCATATCACCAAAGATATTTTGATGACAAATAAACATGAAAAGGCATTCAACATTCTTAGTCATTAGCAAAATACAGATGAAAATCGCAGTGAGGTCCCATGACAAATCCACTAGAATAGATAAAATTAAAAAGACTGATACAACCAAGTGTTGGCGAGGACGTGAAGAAATTGGAACCTTCATACATTGCTAATAAGAATGCAAAACGGTATGGTCACTTTGGAGAACAATTTGGCAGTTTCTCACAAAGTTAAACATACACTTGCCAAACGGCACAGCATAGGGTGACCAACTGTCCCCGTTTGCCCAGAACTAACCATGCTTTAGCACTGAAAGTCTCACATCCTGGAAACCCTTCGGTCCCAGGTGAACCAGACGTTTCATCCTCCTACCAGCAACCTCATGATCCCAGGTATTTACCCAAAAGATAGGAAAACACATCCACACAAAGACTTGCACTCAAATGCTCACAGAAGTTTTATTTCTAAAAGCTAAAAACTAAAAACAACCCAAATGTCCATCAACTGATGAACGGATAAAGAAATCGGGTATGTCTACACAATGGAATACTACTCAGCAATTAAAGGAAGGATCTACTGAATGAATCTCAAGATAACTATGCGGAGAGAAAACAGCCAGACACAAAAAGATGACATACTGAATGATTCTATTCATATGACAGTCAGTAAAGGGCAAACTGTATGACAGAAAGCAGCCCAGTGGTTCCAGGGGCTGGGTGTGTGATAGGGGATCAGCCATAAGGGGCATGAGGGAAATTGGGAGGTGACGGAAATGTTCACATCATGATTATGACAGATCTATACATCTGTCAAAACACATCAGGTTGTACACTTAAAATTGATGAATTTTATGATATGTAAGTTAAACTTTTACAAAGCTATTTTAAAAAAGTAAAAGAATGAGGAAAAGGATACTATATAGACAGCAACATAAAACCAGTATGGCAATATTAATATCAGGCAAGATAGATTTTTTTAAAAAATGCAATGGCAGTGGAACGAGAAGAAAATAAGTCAGTGCATGCACCCGTCTCAATGGTTGTTTCTCAATTCGGCATTTACAGCTGTTAGCCTTTGAAGAACAGGATCCATTTCTAACTGGAAAATGCAATGACGTTTGAGAACAGTTCCTTTCATATATGGGCAGATGAGAAGAATTGTTGTGCTGAGAAATAGAGGTTAATTCAGTCTGAGCAGATTCCACAAAGCATTAGGGAACATGGAAAGAATATTTTAAAATAATACAACGGCTTTGACTTTTGTTTTAGCAATTTTTCTCCTCTCCATGGGACAATGAGTCTTTTCATTGAACTTTACCAACGGGGTGGGGGAAGACAGAGAGGGAGACTGTTCTGTCTTAGCTACAGTTCTTTAAGCATAACTGCTGCAAGAAAACCCACAGGCGAGCAGAATCCCTCCAAAGCCAACACTGTCTGCTGTGGGCCTCGAGACAAGAGGCCTGGCTGTCCACACTGATGTGACCTCACCTAGGTAACTTAACTCTTTGGGCTTAATTAGCAGTAAAATAAGAGGCACGTCCTGGAAGCAGTGTTTCTCAACCTAAACAGGACCATAGGCCTGTAAGGCCCTGCTCTCCTGAGGGAGAAGGTGGCAGCAACCTCCACCTCCACATAAGACGAGAAAGGGGGTAGGGCACTAATATTTACTAAGTGCCTGTGATGGGCCAGGCAGTGAACTGGGCGTTTTGCACATTATCATCTCACATGATCCCCACAATCATGCCATGAGGTGGAGAGTTCCAGTTTTATGAATGGAACACTGAGATTTACAGATGGACAGGCACCAAGACCTCAGCGCTAGTAAACTGACAAAGCCAAGATTCTACCCTGCCACCTCTCAGGCACTCAGCCTACTTTTTTAAAAAAGAAATTTCCCTAATGTGTAAGTTCTTAGACATCAGGCTCGATAGTCTTGCCCCTCTAAGACCCTCTGTGAGCATCCCAGGTTTGCACACCAACCGCTCTACACACTCACAGGGCATCGCATGAGAGCTGCACAAACCTCAGAGGCCTTACTGTCTGCTTCCCACCTAATGCTGGAATCGCCGGCGAATGGGAAGCCAACCTCTGCTAGGACTCAAGACTAGTATGGCATTCAGGTGGCTCTCAATGTCAGACATTGGTTCTCCTTCATGTTGACCTGTCGTTGCCGTTTGTAACTTCCACCCAGCGACGAAGGCCTGCCTGCCAGCTCAGCCTGCCCAGACACGAAGTCATCCTTTCCCACTCAAGTCCTTTCACAGACAAGGCAACCCCACCTGCCCAGCCATCCAGACCAGGGACCAGGAGCCAGCTCCACGTATCCTCTGCAGAGCCGTCACAGTCGTGAGTGGACACACTCTGGCTTTCCCTCCTCTGCGTGGCTCCCCCATCCAGGCCTCCTGACTCTTCCCACTGCTGCAGCCAAGCTTCTCTTCTCACCTTTTCTCACCTAGACTCTTCCAGGAGCCTTGGAACTGCCCTCGCTGCCTTGCATCC